TTCTGGGGCCGTGGCCGTGCTGGAGAGCCGCTCGTGAGGGGTGACTGGTGACCTCGGTAGGGCGTGAAGGACGGACCAGAACGCCCCCCTTCCCATGAGGTTTTAGTCGCCCCCACACCCCCGGCTCATACCTGCTGTCCACAAAGCTCCCATGTGGCCGCCATCTTTCTTTCCAGAGGGAGGAGGGCGGAAGGGAGCAACACCCTTTCCCCTCTGGGCAGAAATGATTGCCTGGATTAACGCATAGTCCTTTCACTTTTCTGCTCCAAGCTGCTGGGTTCTGCATTAAGCCCTTGTGCTTCTGGGGCTGTGGCCGTGCTGGAGAGCCGCTCGTGGGGGGCAACTGGTGACCTCGGTAGGGCGTGAAGGACGGACCGGAACGCCCCCCTTCCCATGAGGTTTTAGTCGCCCCCACACCCCCGGCTCATACCTGCTGTCCACAAGGCTCCCATGCGGCCGCCATCCTTCTTTCCAGAGAAGAGAGGGCGAATGGGGCAACACCCTTTCCCCTCCGGCAGACTTGATGGCCTGGATTAACGCATAGTCCTTTCACTTTTCTGCTCCAAGCTGCCGGGTTCTGCATTAAGTCCTTGTGCTTCTGGGACTGTGGCCGTGCTGGGGAGCCGCTCGTGGGGGGCAACTGGTGACCTCGGTAGGGCGTGAAGGACGGACCAGAACGCCCCTCTTCCCATGAGGTTTTAGTCGCCCCCACACCCCCGGCTCATACCTGCTGTCCACAAGGCTCCCATGTGGCCGCCATCTTTCTTTCCAGAGGGAGGAGGGCGGAAGGGAGCAACACCCTTTCCCCTCTGGGCAGAAATGATTGCCTGGATTAACGCATAGTCCTTTCACTTTTCTGCTCCAAGCTGCTGGGTTCTGCATTAAGCCCTTGTGCTTCTGGGGCTATGGCCGTGCTGGAGAGCCGCTCGTGGGGGGCAACTGGTGACCTCGGTAGGGCGTGAAGGACGGACCAGAACGCCCCCCTTCCCATGAGGTTTTAGTCGCCCCCACACCCCCGGCTCATACCTGCTGTCCACATGGCTCCCATGCGGCCGCCATCCTTCTTTCCAGAGAAGAGAGGGCGAATGGGGCAACACCCTTTCCCCTCCGGCAGACTTGATGGCCTGGATTAACGCATAGTCCTTTCACTTTTCTGCTCCAAGCTGCCGGGTTCTGCATTAAGTCCTTGTGCTTCTGGGACTGTGGCCGTGCTGGGGAGCCGCTCGTGGGGGGCAACTGTTGACCTCGGTAGGGCGTGAAGGACGGACCAGAATGCCCCCCTTCTCGTGAAGTTTTAGTCGCCCCCCACACCCCCGGCTCATACCTGCTGTCCACAAGGCTCCCATGCGGCCGCCATCCTTCTTTCCAGAGAAGAGAGGGCGAATGGGGCAACACCCTTTCCCCTCTGGGCAGAAATGATGGCCTGGGTTAACTCATCGTCCGTTCACTTTTCTGCTCTAAGCTGCTGGTTTCTGCATTAAGTCCTTGTGTTTCTGGGGCTGTGGCCATGCTCCAATCTTAACTCTGATTTTCAGGGAGAAAGATTGGGTGGTTTACTTCTCATTGATCACTTTGTATATAGAGAGAGCTGTGTTTGTAGAGGCTTCTGTATTTGTATTTGTAAGCGGCCGCGCGGTTTTGAAAAAAAGTCCTCATTCCCGCATACTCGAGCTGTGTTTGTAGAGGCTTCTGGTCACCAGGGTTCCATCTGGGGGAGGCGGGATGCGGCGCCTACTCCATCTGGAACTTTCCGGTGCTCTCGGCTCTTTTTGGAATCTGTTTTTTCTTTTTTCTTTTCCTCCGGGATCCCGCACCCTCCATGTGTTCCTTCTCTTATTCTGAACGCTTCAACAGCTGCGGGTTCTTAACTAAAGCTCAGAACCTTAACACTAGGGCCTGGAGTGAGGGTGCAGTGGGTAGGCACTTGCCTCCCAGGCATCCCTTACGGTTCCCCGTAGCCCGTGTGTGAGCCCGAATACCACCCAGGCCACCAAACCCCAAATAAACAAAACCCAAAAAAGCAGCACTTGACTACAAGACTCCACCAGGGCCAGCCAGGTAGAGAGGCCGGCTCTAACTGCCAGGAACCTTAAAATCATCACTGGCAGGACAGGACCTGGGGGTCCATATGGCTAGCGCAGGGCCTGCTGGGCCAAACGTGCAGCCTGAATTCCACCCCTGGGGCTGCACCCCTGTACTGGGCGCACCCCAACGGTGCTGTTGCTTGGGCCTGGTGTTTGGTTTCAGGGACTCCACGTATAGTGCTGCCTTCAGCCACGTGTGTCAGCCACATGGCTGGAAAGTGCGACCCCTGGTGGGGACGCGTGTGGCTGCAGCACCCTCCCGGGAGCACGGAGACCGCCAAGCGCCCCAGCCAGACCAGGGAGTGGAGTTGGGGGACAAAGGAAAATGAGTCAAGATGATAAGTGACAGGCTGAGGGTCTGTCCCACGGGAGACGCGGGATGCGCGGAGATAAAGTACCACAGGGAACCCCGGACTGAATCCCGGAGCAGAGAGGGGGTATTTAGTTGGAAAATGAACAAAATTCAGAAGAGGTCTGCAGGTCAGGTCATGATACCTGATTGCTGTGAATTTCCTGGTTTTAATCATTGCAAAATGGTTCCAGGACACGATCACTTCATAAGCTGGGAGAAAGCGGCATGCTATTTTCACAACTTTTCTTCAAGTCTAAAATCACTTTAAGTTAAAAACACAAAGGAGTGAAGGGAATCTTATTATTATTCTTCTTTAACCAAAGAAACACAATAACTCTGATTCGGTATATCTGGAAGACTTAAAACTTTGCTTTTCTAAAATAAATAAATAAAATCTTTGTTTTTCTGAAAATAAAACATTCTGGCTAAATAGGTCCCAACAAGCTATTTCAGTAGAAGGACTTGTTTTCCTCCTTGGGTTGAGGTGAAATGAACACGCAACAAAACTATACATATTTAAAGTAAATAATAATTTGATGACTTTCCGCACAGGTAATATTGCCGTAAGATAATGAGTGGACTTGGGGCTGGAGCGATAGTACGGTGGGTAGGGCATTTGCCTTGCACGTGGCTGACCCGGGTTTAAGTCCCAGCATCCCATATGGTCCCCCAAGCACCACCAGGAGTAATTCCTGAGTGCAGAGCCCTGTGCATTGACGGGTGTGCACCAAAAAGAAAAAAAAAAGATAATGGATTTAGGGGCTGGAGAGCTTAATGAGTAGGGCACAGAGCCAGGAATAAGCCTGAGCAGGGCCGGGGATATCTCCAAAACCAAATCCTTCCCCCCCCCCCCCCCCGCAACAAATAATAATATCACTTGAATCACTTGACTTCGCGTTAATCATCCATTTGCTTGAGTGGGCACTAGTAACGTCTCCATTTGTCCGTCGCGTGCTAGTGTGGCCCAATGGCATCTGTTCGCTCCGGGAACATGAAGGGCCTCAAACCGATCGTTCATGATCTTGACGAAGAAGTCTGACCATCTGGTAGGTGGGCGGCCACGCGGTCTTTTGACATCCCGTGGAATCCAGTCAGTAACAGCTCTAGTCCAGCGGTCGTCTTTAAATCTCATTACGTGACCAGCCCATCTGATTTTTGACACCTTGGCAAATGAGACAGCATCCCTGATTCTTGATCGTCGACGGATGTCAGAACTCCGGATTCTTTCTCTCATTTGAGTGAAACGTGATATTCCAAGCATAGCTCTTTCGATTCCTCTTTGGGAGACCTGAATAGCATTCTCATCCTGTTTACATAGGGCCCAGGTCTCTGAGGCATATGTTAATAAATAAAATAATTAAAATAATAATTAAAATAATAACAGTGGATTTATTGTCAGGAGACAACTGTGTGTGGTTCTCGTTTCTGTTGGTCTTAAGGGCAGATACACTGAATCCTTTGCTGTCAAAGTCTCCCTCCGGAGAATAGGATGGTTTTATTCACAGTGGGGTCTATAAATTCACCCGGGGCAAGCATGGCGTAAGGTTTCCTTGCTCCCTCAGCTGGACTGCAAACCCACCCAGGGCCAGCCTCTTCTGCCCCACCAGAAGCTTCAAGGCAGAAAAGCAAATACATGGGCTAACTCCTGGCTCTGTGCTCAGGGGCCACTCCTGGTGGGGCCTGGGAAGGTGGCACATATGTGGTGCCTCTTTTAGGTATTTTTTTTTTCTTTCAGTTTTGGGCCTTACCAGCAGTGCGCAGGCCTGACTCCTGGGTCTGCGTCAGGGATCACTTTTGGAGGGGCTCGGGGAGCCATCTGGGATGCCGGGAATCCAACCCAGTTTGGCTGGTCTTTTCTTTTTTTTTTTTCCTTTCTTTTTGGGTGATGCACAGGGGTTACTCCTGACTCTGCACTCAGGAATTACTTCTGGGGGTGCTCAGGGAACCATATGGGATGCTGGGAATCGAACCCAGGTTGACTGCGTACAAGGCAAACACACTACCCACTGTGCTATCGCTCCAGCCCCTGGTCTTTTCAGTTTGAGACGCTTTGGTGACAAGCTGACAGGATTATACGGGAGACAACGCTTTGTGCTGTTTGGAGGCCACAGGGCTGGCTAATACTCCTGTCTGCATGGTGGCCGTGGTGGAGAAGGGCCGTATTCAATCTGAAGGGTTTGTCTTATGATTCCCACTTCATAAGAGTGTGGTCCTTTTTTCCAAATAGCCAAAGAAAAAGAGAGAAGGGCCGTGACTGTCATTCCCATTTCCCCCCTGGAATTTTAGCTTCTTTAAGAAGATTGCTATGGTGTGATAAATTTCAGAAGTCTCTAAGATTTCCCTCCCCTACCTTATCCTCTCCATTAGGCTAACGACCACGACCACTCTGAACCACCAGACACCCCTCCTTGCTCCCCCCACCCCCTCCTCCTCATCCTTTTGCAGGATGTTGCTTGAGGAGGAACAGGCCGCAGGGCCCAGAGTCCAGACGGTTTGACTGAATCTCCTGCGACAGGGATGTCACTCGGTATGACATGTAAAACAGAAGAAATGAATGGAGACTCTTAAGTTTAAAAAATGACTTTAATACCTACTATATCTAGATCAACCAATCACTGTCATTTTCCGAACAATCTCAGCGCGTAAGTTTCAGAAGGGATTTTTTTAAACAGTGCTAGGCTGATACTATCCCGCTAGTATTTTAAATACCTTTCCTTCAGTTATTTAAAATCTGAGTATTTTGAAAACGCAGGCTATCTTCATAACAAGTGCCATCATCTTTTACCACGAAGAATGAACCTGCTTCTCCAGTAATTCCCACAGTTCAACAAATACAGAACAGAGACACAGCAGCTTGACCAGGATTTTAAAAGGCGTGGTTACACAGAATCTTTCTTCGGCCCACAGCAAGCTCAAATTTATCTTGAATCAACACAGTAGTATTCGTTACTATATACTTATTTTTCTGTGATTCCATGTGCAAAAACAGATCAGAAAATGTTATTAAATAATTTTCAGGTAAAGCTGAAAAACATATCCCAAAGTTACAGCAGACAAAAAAGGTATAAAGGGCAAGTTTACATACAAATAAAAAAATACACTTCCAGATCTTTCACAATAGCTCATGCAGTTCTCCAGGACTGTTGAATGAAACCATGACATTGGCAAGGGAGATGAAGGGAGTAAGATGGTGAGTTCATGGAGGCCTGTACTTGCAATCCAAAGCTGCTAACACAGGCAGATGATTTTTGGAATAATATCCTACAAAATCGTTTTTGAAATAGTAGCGCAAATCCGCTTACATCAAACAATTAGAAGGATGCTGATATCTCAGTACAAACTCTGAATTTGGATGCTCCACTTAGCATCTGAAGCTGGGGCCTGTGAGGTTTTCTTTGCTATTCCACAGGATTGGCACTGGTCCTTCAGGTAACAATGGCAGAAAAACACAGATTGGGGACCAGAGCGATAGCATAGCGGGGAGGGCATTTGCCTTGCATGCGGCTGACCGGGGTTCGATTCCCAGCATCCCATATGGTTCCCCAAGCACTGCCAGGAGTAATTCCTGAGTGCAAAGCCAGGAGTAAGCCCTGTGCATCGTTGGGTGTGACCCAAAAAGAAAAAAAAAAAGAGAAGGAAAATACGGGCTGTTTGCTGAGCCCCCATAAACACAAAATCATCAAGAGCATCTACACATGTCTCCTGGAAAGATCTGGAAAGTCCAAGGCTGATTGCTTTTTAAATGGCTAAGAAGGCCAGGTACCTGGGCATGTCTGGCTCATGAAACACCAAGGGCCCTTGAGCCAACGGCTCAGTCAGCCAACGGGCAGAGGGCACGAACAGACACAGCAGGGGAGAGAGGGCACAGGGAGCGCCACAGGACAACCAGCACCACAGCGTCCAGCTGGGGAAACGTGGTGAGTCACACACCTCTCCCAGGGGCTCCCTCCGAACCTGGGGAGAACTGTGGGGAACTAATGCTGGGGCAGAGAGGGTGGACCGTCGGGGCTGGGGGGCCCAACTCGGGTCACCAGCCAGGCAGTTCCTGGAACGACAAGGTCCGTGCACCCCTGGAATCAAGTCTGTTCTAAGTAACAGAAACACATGCAGATGGAGCCTTCTTGACTCTAATAAAACAAGTGTATGGTGTATGGTGTATGTGTGTGTGTGTGTGTGTGTGTGAGAGAGAGAGAGAGAGAGACAGTGGAAACGGAATGAAGAGAATCTCAGCGATTCTCTGGATTCTGTGGGTTCCTGCCTCTATCGACCCCCCACCCGCACCCCCCTCCTCCCGTCCTCAGGGCATGTGGTGGGAACATGGCTGATCCCAGAACAGATGCTGGTGCCAGGACATTTATGGCCAAGAGATGCCCCAACTTCAAAATGCCCATGCAATTCTGCATGACCTGCCACGTACCTTCCTTGGAGGTAACCCGCTTTTTAAATTATTTGGGTTGGGGGTGCTCCTCAGTAGTGTCCGGGGCCCCTGGGGGGTCTCAGGACTCAGTCTGGCTGTGCAGGTTTGGAGGATTCAGACTGGTCAGCCCAGGGCCGCTGGGGTCAGTAGCGTTAGGGTGGGGAGCTGGGGCCCCCCTGATAGTAAGGCTCCTGCCCTCGGAGCCACCTCCCAGCTCAGGGTGACCTGTTCTGACAAGTAACTCGGAGCCATACTTCATGTGTTCCAGAATATAATCCGGGTTGGCTGGACATGCTAATCTGCCTGAGAAATGTGATCGTCCTTTTCCCAAGGGCATTTCAGCCTTCTGGTCTACCAACGGGATGCCCCAAGCATCCTACGAGGAACCCAGGGGCCAGCTTGCCGCCTCTCTGAAGGGTAAAGTCTTTCCCACCAACTCCTGAGCTGGCGTCAAGACTGCTCCCCACGACTTTTCGTAAAATCCCATTCAGGAGCCAAGCAGACGCGGAATAAAGATGCAACTCGGTTCGAGGTAGCAACCACACCTTGAGATGAGGGGGGCGAAGGACCCCGACAGACACTCTGGAGTCACGGAGTCTTGTCCGCAGCAGTGGTTTGAACACAGGACAGTTGTTGTCGCGTTGTTTTGTTGGGGGGGGGGCACAGCAGGAAGTGCTCAGGGGCTGCTCCCACTGAAGTATTTAGGGAGCTTTGGGGGTCCAGGCGGAGCTGGGGGGAGCCTCCCGCATGCAAAGCATCTGCCCCTCCCTGGGACCGAGGCTAACCTAGCAGGACGCCCTGGGCAGTGTTGGGACGTGTGTTTCTTTTTAGTCTTTCTCTCTTGACGAGGGAGCCCGGGTCCGCACACTTGCAAGGCAGGTGCCCGGCTATCAGCTGCGTCCTTGGCCCCCAGGAGACACGCCTGACAATCACAGCTTGGGGAGAATTCCTGGTCGTTACCTGAAAACCATGCAAATGCCCAGATCGCTGGCACAGTGCCCCAAAAGAAGTATCTGCTCCAGGGGCCTGAGTGATATTATAGCAGGAAGGGTGTTTGCCTCGCACGTGGTCAACCCGGGTGTGATCCCTGGCATCCCACATGGTCCCCCGAGCACCGTCAGGAGTAATTCCTGAGTGCAGAGCCAGGAGTAACCCCTGAGCATTGCCAGGCGTGACCCAAAAAGCAAAAAAAAAAGAAAAAGAAAGAAGTAATTTGCTCCAAAATGGGAATAGTGCTGTAGCTGAAAAGCCACGTCACGACAACATAACACGGCAACAGACACTGACAAGAAATTTCAAGGGGCCAGACCGACAGGATGACAGGGAGGACATTTTGCCTTGCACAAGGCCAACCCTGATTCAATCTCCAGCATCCCGTATGATTCCCCCAAGTACCACCAGGAGTAATTCCGAGTGCACAGCCAGGTACTCCTGAGCACTGCTGGTGTGGCCCCCAAACAAAACATTTAAAAACCAGTAAGGACAGAAGAGCAATTAGCATTGCCCGAAGGAGGAATCTATGAGAAATGTCTCCTAAAAAAGACAGAGTGAGAAATACTAGTACAGAGTTTTAAAGCTTCAAATGTCAGCAGAGAGTCGTAGAGCGAGGACAGCGGGCAGGATGTTTGCCTTGCGTGAGGCCAGCCCAGGTTCACTCCCCAGCATTGCATATGTTTGCCGCCCCAAGCCCTGTCAGGAGGGATTCCTGAGCACAAAGCTAGGAGTAATCCCTGAGCACCTCTGGGTGGGGCACAAAAACAGAAAAAGAAAAAAGTCAACATACAAGGGAGGAATAAATCTGAAAGATGCAAAGGCTCAAGTAGTTGGCTTCATTGATTCTGATTCAAAAACTATCTCTATGATGATACAAGGAAATGTGAAAACATTCTTCGAACTTAGGTCAACTATGACAGTATCACTAAGAACAGTCACACATACTGAGAGATCAAAGAGTAACTTCCAGGGCTGGGATGTGGTTCCTTAAGCACCATCGGGGACAGCGCTGAAGGCGTGTCCCTGCGTGAGTTAAAAAAAAATAATAAACTCTTGACAGAATAAAAAAAATTAACCACTGATTTTTGAAGAAACGCTTAATTCCAAGAAGAGATATCCAGAGCTGATCTCCTACCTCACCTAAGCCAGATTTAGTCTTTATTCTGTGGTTTCACGATGATGCAGTGTGTGGAAGGGAAGTGAATGAAGGAACTCTCACATAGCAACAGTATCACAGTGCAGAATGTCCGAAGAGAAGACAGAATCATTTCAGTCAGGCTGAGAAGCAGAATCACCAGGAGGTGAGCAGCGGCCGAGCCCTTTCTCGTTCGTGCCTTTGGGAGGGAAACCCAACTGCCAACTGAGCTTTGCAAAAAGGCTGTCAGACAAGAACTGCACGCTGACAGGAGGCAAAGCGATACGCCTGATAACCTTCATACCTGTACTGCAAACCATGAGGCCAGCAAGGGAGAGGGGGAGGGGGAGGGGGAGGGGGAGAGCGGGGTGGTGGGAGGAAACTGGGGACACAGGTGGTGGGAAATATCCACTGGTGAAGGGACGGGTGTTGGAATATTGTATGACTGAAACCCAATAGCGAACAATTTTGTAACTGTGTATCTCAAGTGAGTCTTTTTTTTTCTTTTTTAAAGAAAAAAGCTGTGAGAAATAGAATGAAAAATCGAGTAAGAAATTATCAACAGAAGGGATCAGATTAATTTCCAGGACACAAAACACCTTTCCTGAATCAAAAAGAGCTCTTCCACTGGGGAAGTTAATGGTACCAATTATTGGCTACTATGTTTCCATCATAATAAAAACCCCAAGGTCTGGGAGAGGACACAGCAGTGAGGACACAGAACTGGGGACCCCCAGCATCCCAGGGGGCAGTCTGGGTCTCCTGGCATCACGGTGGCCCAAGCAGCCCCGCATCCTTGGGCCGGGGACCTCCTGATCACTGCCTGCGAGGTCCCCCGAAATTAAAGAAATAGAAGGAAATTTCAAGAACATACTAATCGAGGAAGATCCTTTCAGTTTGCTAAGATGGAGTTGGAGCAGTGAAGTCCGGTCCGCCCGCTGGGCCCGGGGCTCAGTGACTCGGTTCCTGCTCCATCCCCAGTGCACGGCAGAGCCCAGGAGGATGGACAAACGGCCAGAAAGACACGTGGGTGAGGAGCCCCCCCCCCCCACAAAGGCGCTGCTCAGATCAGCAGTGACGCCTGCCAGGCTGTCAGTGAGGCACTTCACAAAGGCGAGGCGTTTGTGCAAAAGGCTCAGTGTCCAAGAAACGCCAGGGTGAGATGGCATGTCTGGCGGGCACTTCCCAGGAAATGAGGACGCTGAAAGGAGCTGAAGGAGCTGCGGCTCATGCAGGAAAGGGTGGTGTTCTTGCTCCTTGAGAGGCAACGGCCTTTTCCAGCACCGTTAGGGATTTTCATCCTGGACGCTCAGAGTCCCTTAAAAGACGAAGGCAGTGTCTTCAGGCCAGAAAGGAAAGACAACCAAGACACACCGAGCTGAGAGAACCAAGCTCAGACTTGGACCCAGCATGAAACCCTTATGACTTTAACCAGAACACGTTCCAAAACGCCACCTTTCCTGGCTCGTTCCCCCCCTTTTGGCTGCTGGGATTTGAAGTGATTGCACTTAAACGGAGCAATGAAAGGAGTACTTTGCCCCTTCTTCTAGAGCACCATGTGCCTGGTGCTTGGCTGAGTACTGGAGAGGTGGAGAATGACCATGTGCGTGACGTCAGGGTCCTGGGAACAAAAAGGAGGACCCACAAGGAGCCGCCCCAGTGGCTGGAAATGGCTCACATCATTGGGAATTTTCTGCACAAATAAAAAGTTCTGAGTGAGGTATTGCTTCCTGAGCACCCGACTGGATTCGGTTTTGAAAAAAAAAAGGTGACGTTGCTTCGTTTCAGTTTCACCAACGAGCACGGCTTCTTCCCCCTATTTGCGAAGCTCCCTGTAGACTTCCGGTTCTCTGTCACCGTCGTATTGGTTGGTCCCCAGCTTTGCACCTCTGTGCGGCCCATCCTCTGGCCACCGGGGGGTGGGGTCCCATCTGGCTGGACTCTAGGTCTTGTTATACCAATTCATGGAGCGTTTCACTGCCTTCACCCAGTTTTCCATACTAATTTCATAGTCCTGCCATTTCTTCTGTGGCTTGAAAACCATCTCACTCTGCCTCAGTTTCTTTAGTTCCTCCTTATCACTCCAAAACCCTACGGAGGGAAAAAAATAGTCAACCAAATATGTGGGCGAATAATGAGTCCATAAAGCTTATCCAGCACACTTAGGTGAGCCAGCATGGAGGCAAGCGATGGTTATCGAAAACACAATCTCATATTTTCTTTGACTCCTTCTCCCAAGAAATAAACAGGCCAGGAAAAAAAAATTCTCTGGGTCTCTAACTATGGGGGGCATCATTCTGACACCAATCTTACCTCTCCTCACTCACTTTCATGACTTGCTATTAAGACTTCAACAAACAAGCGTGTGTATTTTCAGAAAACAGAAACAAAAACAAAGATTCTGCCTCATATCTTGAGTTTCGAAACTCACGTGTAAAATTTGAAGATTAAAATGAAGAAGTAGGGGCCGAAGTGATAGCACAGCGGGTAGGGCGTTTGCCTTGCATGTGGCCGAGCCGGGTTCGATTCCCAGCACCCCATATGGTCCCCTGAGCACCGCCAGGAGTAATTCCTGAGTGCAGAGCCAGGAGTCACCCCTGGGCATTGCTAGGTGTGACCCGACCCAAAAAAGAAGAAGAAGAAGAAAAAAAAGAACAAGAAGAAGTAGATTCTTTTTCAAACCACTGAATTTCATGCTCGTGATGTGAACGCAAGAGCAAGATAATATTATGGTTCAAACTGTGCTGAGCTTTGTACTTGATTTGGAATAAAAAGCCAAGAGCAAGCATGTTTTAACTAAGACTATAAGTGGCCTGAGAGAGAGGTGGTGTCTTAATAATGAGGTTGGCACCTTCTACCTAGCCTCAAGTGCTAACAAGTTGTTTTCAGAGCCGTGTGCTCTGATGCCAATAAACCTGACATATAAAGTTCAGAGATTTTTTTTTCCATGATTTTCTGTTAGGTCACACTCTTTTAACACAGTCAGCATTTTGGCTATTCAGACATCTATATTTAAACATATTAATTTAGGAAAGCTTTAAAGAGATTGAACACTTTTTTATAGGCATAAAACTCAGAAATAAATCTAGTTGTGAAAGTAATTGTGCTCTTAAAACCCTTACAGCATAAGGATTTTAAGTATATATCCTATACTGTTAAAAATTTAAGACTTGCATTTTTAAAAAAGTCAATTTATTCAACACGGATAAGAACTAGCCAGGGGCTGGGCAAATTTGAAAGGATGTACACAGTCTTCAAGTCTCAAATCACAGAGAGGAAAAAACAATTCACAAATCAACCAGAAATTCAGAGCTTTTTTTTTTTTTTTTGGCAAGGGTGAAGCACTCTCTAATTCTCTGTACTGAAGAAAATGGCATTAATTATGATATAATGAAACAAGCCCTGGTGAACTCAAGAACAACCTCCATGTTTGTGGTTCATGGCATTTGCACGTTGGAAAAAATCTGACACACGTAGCCCCTTTTTGTGGGGGAGGGGTATGTGGCCACACCCAGCGGAGCTAACCACTGTACTATCTCTCTGGCCCTAATTCCTTTTTTGTATGTTATTTGGCTGTGTTCCCAGCTGTGCACCAATTCTTCTACAGTGAAAGATTGGAAACAATTTGGGAAGTGTATAAAGAATATTAAGGTGAACCTGATGACTTGCTGTAATTATCAGCTTAATCTATTCAACTTGCAGGAGCTGCTCACACACTAGCAATTTCCCCAGGTCGACTCTGACATGTCCCATCAGTCATGTTAAATCGTTGGAACAAAAACCCACCAAAGTAAATGTACTAGCATGAAAACCCACAAGAAAATTTAGTTAACTGTGTTATGCAGCGGGGAGGACTCTTTAGAGAAAGTTCTTTCTTTTTCCAGGTTGAATGAAACAATCAATGAACAACGGGTAGAAATCATTTCCATTTTGTTAAAAATTAATAGACGGCCGGGGCTACTGCGAAGGTTGAATCGACCTTACCAAGCTTCCATGCTTTCGGGATTTGTATCTTTTTTTCAGGGAGGTTGGGGGTTTTTCCACCAGACTCAGAGGCCTGCCCTCCCCATGTTGAATGCTAAGCCCTGGGCTGCTGGGGATCCCCACAGCTCTACAAAGCAGATTGGGGTGGGGGGAAACAAGTGAGCTGGGAAGGAAACTGGAGTCTGGAAGCCAGAGAGCGAGCACAAGGTTCGAGGCGCTTGTAGACGGCAAACTCAGGTTCAACCCCCAACTCCACACAGCACCCCCGGAGCAGCACCAGGAGTGATCCCTGAGGCACAGGGCAGAGAGCGAGCCCTGAGCACCTCCAGGTGTGCCCCCCGAAACAAACAAACTGGGCCGCCGGAGCCACAGCACAGTGGGTGGGGCGTTTGCCCTGCACGAGGCTGACCCCTGTTCCATCCCCGGCATCCCACATGGTCCCCCAAGCACTGCCAGGAATAATTCCCGACTGCAGAACCAGGAGGAACCGCTAAGCATCAATGGGTGTGAACCAAAACCAAACCCTAAAAAACCCCAACCAAACACACAAAAACAAATGCATGGGGGGGGGGGCTGCCTGGTGTAAGGCAAGTGCTGTCCCCCCGCCCGTGCCTCTGGCCCCCTTCATGGCTCCATGGAGCTGAGCCGTGTTCAGCCACCCCACCCCCTCCTCTCGCACCCTTCCAAGCCCAGGCACACGTTCCTCCTCTGGGGCTCCTCAGCCACCTGCTAGCTGGACTGGGCGCACACTCCCTCCGTTTCTGTTGCACACCCTGGTGCTCAGGGCTCACTCCTGGCTCTGCACCCAGGGATCACTCCTGGCAAATTCGGGGAACCGCGTGGGATGCGGGGGGATCAAACTCGGGTCAGCCGTGTGCATGCAAGGCAGGCGCCCTCCTGCTGAACTCGCGCTCGGGTCCCACCGGGGACGCCCATGGCTTGTGGCTCTACAGCTCTTAAACTGTGCTTGGCCAGGCGGCAGGTCCCAGAGCAGAGTTGGGGCAATGGGTGAGGAAGGGCAGGAGAGAAGGACGGAGGAGGAGCAGCTGACGCCCAGAGAGGGGCTGTCGGGGGTAAGCCACGGCCCTCCCTGCTTTATAGAGCGCCCCCTGGCCTTCCGCCCAAGCTCCATGGATCCTGGTGCGTGGCTGGGAGACTCGGGCCGGGAGTGCTCCCGTCTGTGAAATCCATACGTACCCACAGCTAGGCCGGCCAGGCTGGCGGCCCCGCGGCAGGACATGTCCACCTGGACGGGCCTGTCGATCGCCTGGTTGATGAGGTCGGAGGTCATCTGCATGATGAAGCTGTTCTTACACACGCCCCCGTCCGCCCTGTGGGGAGCAGGACCCGGGGGACAGATTGAGTCACAGAAGCATAAACCTGGCGAGATCTCTTATTCGAGGGGGAGCGCTGATTTCAGGGCCTCGATTTTACTTCTCATTTAATTGAAAAACATGAAACAACAGTCAAACCTGGTAGGGTGCTGGGGTCAAGGACCATCCCCTGAGAAATTTAGTCCACGTGAGCAGTGGGATGGGGCGGGGGGGGGGGGTCACCAGGGCCCCAAAGAAGTGCTGAGGGGTGTGAGTGTGTGTGTGTGAGTGTGTGTATGAGTGTGTGTATGAGAGTGTGTGTGTGATTGTGTATGTGAATGTGTGTGAGAGTATGTGTGAGTGTGTGTGTGAGAGTGTGTGAGTGTGTGTGTGAGTGTGTGAGTGTGTGAGTGTGTGTATGAGTGCGTGAGTGTGTGTGTGTGTGTGTGTGTGTGTTCCACATGGTCAGAAGTTGCACTCAGGGCCTTGCGCTTCTGGCACCCACCCTGTCCCCCGGCTCTGGCAGCTCAGTGTGGCCTGACGAGGGTCAGCGAGAGAGCCCAGGGATGAAGGCTCTTGCCTGACATATGGGAGACCCGGTCCACTCCCTGGCATGACGCAGGGTCCCTGGAGCATCGCCAAGAGTGATCCCTGAGCATGGAGCCAGGGGCAAGCGCTGAGCACTGCTGGGGGTGGCAAAAGGCACAGCTAAGTGAGAGGCTCTGATGAGGCACCTTGAAGCTTCTCTCCCCAGCCCTGTGGGCTGCTGCTGTCCTGCTTACCTGGGGACAAAGCCCCAAGCTGGCCAAGCGAGCAAAAGCAGATGATGAAAATTAACGTCGGCATTCTAACCTAGAAAATTTGAGGGTTCCATGCCCAAAGGATAGCACGCACGCCCAAAAGAGACAGTAAAGGCTTAGCCTGGGTGCCCATACAGTTCTACTTTAACTCAAACTAACTTTCCTTCCTGAAGTTCTTTTTTTTTTTTTTCTTTTCGGGTCACATCCAGCAATGCTCACAAGTTACTCCTGGCTCTGCACTCAGGAATTACTCCTGGCGGTGCTGGAGACCATATGGGATGCTGGGAATTGAACCTGGGTCAGCCGCATGCAAGGCAAACGCCCTACCTGCTGTACTATCGCTCCGCCCCCATCCCCCCTAAATTCTTTTTATTTATTTATTTTTGCTTTTTGGTCACACCTGGCGATGCACAGGGCTTAATCCTAACTCTGCACTCAGGAATTAATCCTGGCGGTACTTGGGGGACTATATGGGATGCTGGGAATCGAACCCGGGTTGGCCACGTGCAAGGCAAACGACCTACCCGCTTTGCTATCACTCCAGCCCCCCTAAATTCTTAAAACCAAGTAATTTTGATTTTGGTGTAGGGGGGTTGGGTCACACCCATGGTGCTGGGGGCTACTCCCAGCTCTTGTGCTTGTGGGTCCCTCTAGTGGCGCTCTGGTGGTGCTCAGTGCCACGGAGTAAATGGTTAAGTCACACGTGAGGCAGATGCCCCAAGCCCTGTACTCTCCCCTTAAAAGCTCTAAGCAGGAGTTTTGTTGCAGAGAAGTTTGACACTTTTTTGGGGGGGGGGGTCACATGGCGATGCTCAGGGGTTACTCCTGGCTCTATTTCTGCACTCAGGGATCACTCCTGGTGGTTCTCGGGGACCATATGGAATGTCGGGGATAGAACCTGGGTCGGATGCGTGATAGGCAAACGCCCTCCCTGCTGTACTAGGGCTCCAGCCCTTGACACGAGCTCTCTCTGAAATTGTGACTAATCACCAGAATGAACACGCCAATGGCAGGCGATCTTGCCCTAAGCGAGGGTCCCGGGAAGGCACATACCGGATTTTTGTCACAGGGATACGGATCTCTTTCTGCATCACTTCGTACAACTGTTTGTTTCTAGTTAAAAAGAAGAAAAAAAAAGAAAATGATTTAGAGAAAAAAATTTTTTTGGTGAAACAACAACAAAAAAACCCAATCCCAACCCCCTGTATTTAGAAAGATGTGAAAGGAGAAAGCGAGAGAAGCGAGTGTTTAAGAGGAGACAGGGGCGTCTCCAGGGGAGAAATAGGCGAAGACGCAGAGAGACGAGACGAGCGGAATGTGTCTGCGTGAAGAGCAGGCTGCTCCCTCATCATTCCATTTCTCTCCAGCTAGAATAATGAAAACTGCTGATTTTATTTATGTATTTAGAAAATGGGCCAGAGGAAAACGTTAAGGAGAGGGACCAAGTTGACTGAACCCGTCGGTCACAGAACCCGTGTGTGTCCCTTTTTATTCAGAACTAAATTTGACCTATCACTATTCCAACAAATAAAAATTTACAGCCCGACTCCAGACAATAGACAGTCACTCATATGCCACGGACTCCCATCTAACTGAATGCGTCAAATATAAAAACGATCACGTGAGACGTTATTTTTATTTTAAACATTACAAAGGTCCCATCATATTCATATCAGCCACAGTCTTTAAAAAAAAAAAGAAATTCAATTTGATTTGTTTACTTCTTTTAGATCTTCTGAGCCGGTGTTCACGACCGACCCCTCTCACCAGGCGGCTGGCTCTGTGCCAGGCCCTGGGGTGCTGGGGACACTGGGCTACCCAGCATTACTGGAGACCTCTGGGGATATCTGGGTCCCCGTAGTATTATTGGGGTCCCTAGGGCTGTACTCAGCAGTGCTCAGGGGCTTACCTGGTGATGCTGGGACCAAATTAGGCTAAGTGTATGCTGGGCATGGGTCCTACCCACCGTTAAGATCTCCTGCCCCCAGGTTCTTAAATTTAACTCTCACCCCCTAACCAAAGGCCACTGCAAAACAGACCTAACGCAAAATTCTGACGACTGAATCTGGGTATGACCAACATTATTCGTGGGACTCCTCTCTCAGGAATAAGGAAACAAAAATTTTATTTCGAAGTCCCAAGTACGACACTTGGGCTTTTCTTGAGTTGCCATTGCTTTTATGCGGTGCCGGGGATGGACATGCCAAGAGAGTGCTCTCCTGCATTTTGTTCTCTTTTTTCGTTTTTGGTCACACCAAGCGATGCACAGGGGTTTCTCCTGGCTCTGCACTCAGGAGTCACTCCTGACGGTGCTCGGGGGACCATATGGGATGCTGGGAATCGAACCCAGGTCGGCTGCATGCAAAGCAAATGCCTTTCCCGCTGTCCTATTGCTCCAGCCCCAGTGCTCTCCTGAGGAGCCACATCTCGGGTCTGTCAGATTGGGAGTCATTTATGCTTAAGAAATTGAACTCTTGAACAATCATCATTTGATTCTCAGGCGGTAGTTTTTGGGGGTACCGGATCTATTAAACGGGGCCGGCGGGGAGAGGAAGAGAAGACGGTTGGAAAACCAGCAACTGATGACAGGATAATGTTGTGTGAATGAAACCAATGGCGTGGACGCAGGCCCGGCTGCCCGTACCTGAAGGCGATGGACTCCAGGATGGCCCGCACCAGGTGGTACTTGCTGGTGGACGGCTTCAGGCCCATGAAGGAGGCGCAGGCACAGGGGTCGTTGACGGGCGCCTAGAGCACGAGATGAGACGCGCCTCGTGCTGCGTCCGGGCCAGGCCCACGGCCTAGACACAGCCCAAGGAGGGCCCGGGCATCCCATGCGTCACCGTCACCCCACGTTGGGCGGACGATGAGGCATCTTTGTATCAGGGCTCAAGCAAGGCTGGTGGGCACATGCAGGCCTTGGCTGGCCCTTCGGTCGGAGCACGCCCCAGAAGAAGGCTTCTGGATAGTTCCGGAAAGTCCTAGAAGCTCTTCCAGATAACCAGTGAGGAACAGCCTGGGTTTTTGAGCACAGGAAAATGAAAAGCTGTCCTTTGCCCCTGGCCTTTCCCCCCTAAAATGATGATTTATCTGATTAATTTTAGGTTTGGGGGCCACACCTGGCAGGCTCAGAGCTTACTCCTGGACCTGCCCTCGGGGGGGTCACTCCTGGCCATGCGGGGGGACCTCGATGAGGAGCTGGGGATAACATTGGCAAGAGCCTCACCGCTGTAACCCGGAATCTCTGCCCTGCCCCGCGTGCCATCTGATTTGCTATCTAACGTGTTTATTTTCCTGGACTGTTTGCAGAGGCTGCACAGTCCCTGCCCCTCCAGTGGCAGGTGTCAGCTGTGACAGGACAGTCTCCAGAGACAACTGGTGAGGAAGCCGGGGGCTCCCCTCCCTCCGGGGGCAGCTGGCACAGCCTCTCGGGGTGTCCATACCACTGAACAGTCAGACTTCCTTCAACAGTCGTGACCATGCTTTGGTCCGCTGGGGGCAAAGCAGGTCCACGCAGGGAAGCGGCGCTTGATCAGGTGGGACCAAATCGCAAACAAGTGACAAGGACGAGGGCTAGCTACCCAACCGGTGCCACGCAGGACACTGGGACTTTTGTTCCCTGAAAGAAACGACTCCTTCCAAGAACCCCACCTAGGCCTGGCAGAGGGCGAGGCACCCCCTCCCCGCCTGCCTCCCTGGGGGCAAGGAAAGCAGCCTCAGGCTCATGCCCTTTCACCCGGAAGAGGAAGAGGACAGGAGCACTGAGCACCAGGAGGCAGCACTGGGCAGCGAGTGGGGAAGCACCGGGACACAGCTGGCATCTCCGCCCCACAGTGCTCCTCTCCCGTCAGTGCTGTTCAGGGTCCACTGCCAGCCACGAGGGTCAAGACACGGAATCCTGGGTGTCACCAGGACGAACCACTCAAGGTGTTCACAATCCTTCTCTCTTTTCTTTTCCTCCCTCCCTTCCCTCCCTCCCTCCCTCCCTTCCTTCCTTTACTTCCTCCCTCCTTCCCTCCTTGTTTTCTCCTTCCTTCCTTCCTTCCTTCCTTCCTTCCTTCCTTCCCTTCCCTCCCTCCTTCCCTCCTTCCTTCCCTCCCTCCTTCCTTCCTTTCCTTCTTTTCTTCCTCCCTCCCTCCCTCCCTCCCTCCCTCCCTCCCTCCCTCCCTCCTTCCCTCCCTTCCTTCCTTTACTTCCTCCCTCCTTGTTTTCTCCTTCCTTCCTTCCTTCCTTCCTTCCTTCCTTCCTTCCTGCCTGCCTGCCTGCCTGCCTGCCTGCCTTCCTTCCCTTCCTTCCTTCTTTTCTTCCTCCCTCCCTCCCTTCCTTCCTCTTCCTCCCTCTTTCTGTTTCCTCCCTCCGTCCCTCCCTTCTTTCCTTCCTCCCTCTCTTTTTCTTCCCTCCTTCCCTCCCTCACTCCTCCCCTTTCTTAGATACCTGCAATCCACTGAAAGAAGGGACAAAATAAACGCCTTCAGAATCTTCGAGGCTTCTGGCCATTTTTTCCGTCTCGGCAGCATCTGTGAAAAGGTCTGCGGGAAGAGAGACAAACAGAAACAGCGCCCTCAAAACACGGCGGTAGACACTTCTGGGCCGGGTGCTTGCAGCCGCATCCACAAAGGTGGCGACGCGGAAACAGAAAGCCCCTTGCCCAGACCTCGGAGGGGCCCTCTGCCCCCACACGACCCCAGCGCGCAGAGGAGAGGCGGGAGCGGGGAGCGAGCCCCTCCTCTTCTCAGCCTGTACAGGCCGCTGGAACGGAACTGGGACTTGAACCAAATCTGAACGGCCCCAGGAATACTGGTGCGGGACAGGGCCGGGCTCCGGTGCTCTGCTCGGCACCACACGGTCACGCGGGTGTCCCTGGGAGGTACCCTGGACACCCCCTGCAGTCCCTGAGCACTGTCATCGGGCAGCCCTACCTCCAAACACAAAATGGGGGGGAGGGTTTGTAGTTTTCCGTTCTGGAGCCTGGGGTCTGGCCCCAGTGGGACAGCACCTCGTGCCAGGCACTCCGTAGCACCCCCCGCCCCCCGCCGGCCTCCATCATGACCATCAGCACTGCCTGGTCTGGACAGCAGGAACAGAAAGAGTCTCCCGAGGAATGTCCCCTCCAGGCCCAGGGCACACACAGCGCAGGGCGATGATTCTTTCCTTGAGCACGGCCATGAGAGCTCCCTGCAAGCAGGGTCAGGACTGAGCTCTGAGCACGGCTTATGCACGGGCCCAAAGCAAGTCAAAGCCAGCCCAGGAACAGCAGAGAGCAGCCCTTCCTTCCTGGCCGAGCCGTGCTCAGGGGTCACTCCTGGCCGGGCCTCCCACACACCCCGCCCTGCCCACGAGCTGACAGTCTTCCTGGGGGCCATCTGGAAACCCCGGCTCGTGAAGGGGCTCCTTAAGATGCATGTGGGACCGGCAGCATCAGTCAGGGGAAAAGAAAAAAGCCCAGACATCGGTTCAACTTCGTAACATGGGCTTTGGGTAGCCTTAACTTGTTTTGTTTTATTTTCTTACACGGTTCCTTTTGGGGGTCACACCCAGCGGTTCTCAGGGGCTCCTCCTGGCTCTGCACTCAGGAATTACTCCTGGCGGTGCTCAGGGGACCATATGGGATGCTGGGAATCGAACCCGGGTCGGCAGCATGTTAAGGCAAATGTTCTAGCCGCTGTGCTATCACTCCGGCCTCCCAGTTTCTGAAATGAAGGACTGGAGCTCCGACACTGTGACTCCAGATAACTAGGAACGTTCCATGGTAACTGTCCATTTAACTCAGAAGGATGATGATCACGGGGCTGGAGCAATAGCACAGCGGGGAGGGCGTCTGCCTTGCACGCGGCCAACCCGGGTTCGATTCCCAGCATCCCATATGGTCCTCCGAGCACTGCCAGGGGTAATTCCTGAGTGCAGAGCCAGGAGGAACCCCTGTGCACTGCTGGGTGTGACCCAAAAAGGGGGAAAAAAAAAGAAGGATGATGATCAGGTCTACTCGTCACACTCATCTGGCCAAAATGCTCAGATGACATCCAGATATTTCCCGCGCTTCAAAAACTACCACCTTAGTGAAAACACTTTGGTTTTTATATCAGTACTTATAAAATAAATAAATAAATAAACAAACCATGTCCAAATGATAAAAATCTCAAACCAAGACGTGCAAAACAGCCAAGAGGGCTGGTCTGGAGTTGGGGTGGTTGGAACAGACAGAAGAACTAAAACAAAGAAGGTTTGTTCCCATTCCTCATGGGGGTTCCGGCCAGCTGGAAGGATTTCTCAAAACTGGCCCTTCCCCGGGGCCCTTGAGACGGAGCTTCTGAGGAGCCTGGCCCGGGCGCTGACCACCCCGTCCTCCCCAGAGCACTACCCAGAAAAGCCACCTGTGACCCAGGGGAACGGCCAGCAGGGGGCGCTGGGGGCCACGCGGTGCCACCACCCTGGCAGGGAGTTTCCTGTTTGTGACTTTCTCTGCCGTCTCAGGCCTGCACTCAGGGCCAGGCTGAAACCTGAGTCGGGGTCAGCACTGCAGGTGGGAACGCAGAGGCCTCTGGGGGGGGGGGGGGAGGGGGGGTCACCACCGGGCGGGAGGCAGGGAAAGGACTCTGGCTCTGGATTTATTTTTTTAATCCTACCTGAATTAAGAGAGAGAGAGACAGAGAGACAGAGAGAGACAGAGACAGAGAGACAGGAGAGGGAGGCAGAGAGGAGAGAGGGAGAGAGAGAGAGAGAGAGAGAGAGAGCTAAGAACCTGCTTTGCCTATAGAAGGCCTGGATTTGATCCCTAGCACAGTCCCAAGTACCACCAGAAGCAGTAAACCTTGAGCACTGTCAGATGTGGAGGAGGGGAGGGAGAGAGAGGGAGGGGGGAGTAAGGGGGGAGAGGGAGGGAGGGGGGAATGAGAGGGGGAAGGGGGAAGAGAGAGATGGAGAGACAGTGAGAGAGGAAGGAAGAGAGAGAGACAGAGACAGAGAAGAAGAGGGACAGAGAGAGAGACAGAGAGACAAGAGACAGAGAGACAGGGAGACAGAGAATGAATGAAGTGTCTTAGAGATCCGTAGAAAGTAAGAGAAGCCTCAGACATTGGAGTGAGGCCGACAGTGCCAGCAGGCCAGTGGGCGCCGGGTCGCTCGTAACAAACCGGATGTAAGCTGAGCCCGGGGCCACGAGGGCGGCCCCCACATGGTGCTGGGACACTGTGAGCCGAGGTCAGGGCTCCGACTGCGCACAGAAGCCGACTCCAAATCAAGCAGACCGGCACGCGAGTCGGACTCCGGCCGGCATGGAAGGGAGCGCAGAGGCCTCCAGATTAGCACCCACGGAATCTCTTCAGGGTCTTGACTCTCCTGGCAGGGAACCCCAAGCCCAAAGCGGGCCAGTGGGATCGCGCAGAATGAAAGAAACAGCACCTCCAGGGAGGGACTAAAGGTACCGCAGGGAAAACAGAGCCGTCCTGGCCACACCTGCATGTCACCTGCCCGACAAGTTCCAAGCTCCGGAATAGAGACAGCACCCAGGAAACCCAGCCACCAATACGCACATCGCTGAGCGGGGAGAAGAGTGAACAGTCGGTCTGCAAAGACACAGACAGATGCCTGACAGACACCTGGCAGGGGGGAAATTACAACCACAAAGAGGATGAGGGAGGGAGCAGCTCCAAGTGGTCCGCACATCCCAGAAACAAAGTATCAGAAACAGCCACCTCCGAGGTGATGCCAGAAGGAACAAGGGTGGGTCCCTGCCGATAAGCGGATGAATGGGAACAGCGTGGAGACTGCTCAGAAATAAAATATCAGAACAGAACTGCCCAACGATCCGGCATTCTTCACGTAAGTCAGTCCATAGGGCCCCCAGACGCTCATCTGGAACGATGCCTGCACCCCTGTGTTCACTGCAGCCCGAGTACAAGAGAGCAAAGAATAACTTCAGCAGGGCTGGAGCGATAGCACAGCGGGGAGGGCTCTTGCCTTGCACGTGACCGACCCAGGTTCAATTCCCAGCATCCCATATGGTCCCCCGAGCATTGCCAAGAGGAATTCCTGAGTGCAGAGCCAGGAGTAACCCCTGTGACCCAAAAAGAAACAAAAAATAAAGAATAACTGCAGCATTCCAGGAGACAAAGGGGCGTGTGCAGGTGGGGGTCTATGCAAACAGTGGAAAACTATGCAGCCGAGAGCAAGATGAGAGCCAGCTCTGACAGGACAGCTCTTATCGGAAACAGTTCTGCATTTTTTTCGGGCCACACCTGGTGGTGCTCAGGACTTACTTTTGGCAGGGCCGGGGGAACCATATCGGGTGGCAGATCACAGATGGGAAAGTAGGTGAGGCAGAGGGGACCAGAAGAGTCTCAAAGCGGACATTACACACAGGGCAAGAAGTAAAAGAGGGCAGGCCAGAGGGATCGTACAGCAGGGAGGGCATTTGCCTTGCACACGGCCCACCTGGGTTCGATCCCTGGCATCCCATATGGTCCCTCAGCACTGCCAGGAGCGATTCCTGAGTGCAGACCCAGGAGTAACCCCTGAGCATTGCTGGGTGTGATCCAAAAAGGAAAAAAAACGTAAAAGAGGAGGCTGGAGCAATAGCACAGCAGGGAGGGCGTTTGCCATATGGTCCCCTGAGCACTGCCAGGAGTAACCCCTGAGCATCGCCGGGTGTCTCAAAGAGAAAAAAAAAGAAGTAAAAGAGGACACAGTGAAATCCATGGTGTGCATGAGACCTAAATTGCAGAGACCCCAAAGGGGACCCATTGGCACCAGGAGGACAAAGGTCCTTTTCTGATGGTCTGTTTAGGACTGTGCTCAGGGCTTGCTCCTGGTTCTGTACTCAGGACCAGTCTTGGTGGCGCTTGTGGGGGCCACATGGGGCTCCAGGGATTGGACCCAGGTCGGCCGTGTGCAAGGCGAGTGCCTCCCCCGCTGGGCCACAGCTCTGACCCAAGGACCTGGGCTCTAGGGGGTCCAGACCACCCCAACCTCTTCTAGGGAGATCCAGAACCTTGTGGAGGGAGAGAAAGGGCTTCATTTCAACAAGAAAATTTCAATCAACTTGGGGAAGGAGCCAAAGCCGATGAGAGCAAAGAGAGGTCTGACTTACCACGGGATTTTTTTTTTTTTTTTAAAGAATCTTGATATTGGGAAAGTACCTACTGGGCACCTTTCTTCCAATTCTCCCTGGTCGGGACAACCCTGTGGGCAATTCCCCCAGGAAGGACACAAGGTGTGGCCAGGAGATGTTCCTTCTGCGCCTTCTGCACCAAAACCCATCAGAGCTTTGGCTGGTCTCGGAGTCTCAGGACCAGAATACGGGCAACCTGCTCTTTCTCTCTGGGGGTGCAGAAGCCGTCTCTCTTCCAAATGTTCGGACTGATTTGCGTGTGACTCCATTCCTTTTCTAAGTTTTGTGCTGGGGCCACACCCAGTGATGCTCAGAGCTCACTCCTGGCTCTGTGCTCAGGGATCGTTCTTGGCGGTGCTCACGGAACTGTGTGGGATGCCGAGGACCGAACCCCGGTCTGTTGTGTGCAAGGCAAGCACCCTGCCCGCCCTACTATCGCTCCGGCCCCTGATTTCTTTTCTTTATACATGAACTCCTCCTGCCCTGGAAGGTTTGATTTACTGAGGACTCAGACGATATGTACATACGCCTACCTGGGTCTGAGTCTTTTTTTAAAAGTGGTGAGTCATTTCAGTGTGAAAGTGCAAATTTTCTTGACTCAAGGAAGCTTAGTGTCAATGTTCTCTCTCCCATTTTCAAAATGTCATCATTCTATTCTCCGAAATTATTTTTTCACGCTCCAGGAAGAGACTTTATATATATATATATATATATACACACATATATGTGTATATATATTCATATATATGTGTGTGTGTGTGTGTGTGTATATTGTAGCACTGTCCTCCCGCTGTTCATCAATTTGCTCGAGCGGGCACCAGTAACATCTCCATTGTGAGACTTGTCATTACTATTTTTGGCATATCAAATACGCCATGGGGAGCTTGCCAGGCTCTGCCTTGTGGGCAGGACACTTTTGGTAGCTTGCCAGGCTCTCTGAGAGGGACAGAGGAATCGAACCCAGGTCGGCCACGTGCAAGGCAAACGCCCTCCCTGCTGTGATATCGCTCCAGCCCATATGTGTATACATGTATGAAAAATTTTCTTTCTCTAATTCATCTCTCTCCTTAGAGGTCCCTCTCTCCCTTTTTTGGGCTGTAAACTCCTGCTGATCTCTACTTGGGTTCTCTGTACCACGCAGGTCACCTTCTGCTCACTATTTAATATTTGATAAAATGGTGGTGTCCATGTTCTTCAAAGCTCAGTATGTTCCACGCAGTTCTTGGAGGCATTTCCTTTTCTCTCTTTCAGTGCCACTCTGGGCTTTGTTCTTCTTTGGTTCCTTCCATTCCCCCTTCCCTGGCCTGAGCCTGGTGAATGGCGACCCCCACCCCCCACCCCAAATGCAGGGGTCGAGATGCCCTGAAACACTCTGCTCCCTTGGGGCTGCAGTGAGGGCGCAGACCCGGCGCCACGGGACTTTGCGGGGTGTGAGGGAGTCAGGCCCGACCCTCTCCGCCTGGGAAGGCCAGACCAAAAGGACCCGGCCGACCTCTTCCCGGGTTCTAGCTGGGCGGCACCGGGCCAGCTCTTCTCTCCAGCAGGCTGAGGCGGGACTTGAGAGGGCACATGTAGGGGAGGTTCTCAAGCGCCTGTAACCCACAAATCACACAGTGCCCCAGTGCTTGGAGATGGGCTTTTTAAAGATGCACCAGAAAGCGCCCCCTGATGGTGCCTGCGGGAACTACCGCCCTCTGAACGGGTCCTGAGGATGAGGGAGGGCTGCAGGAGGATGAGGGACACAGGTGCTCGCCAGGCTCCTGTGACATGTGGCCGTCCCCTGGAGGAGGCACCTGATCGCATCTCCTCCCGGGAGACTGCTTCTCACTGGCTTCCTGGACTTAGGTAAACAACATCTCACTAATTTGCACAGCCCCGGGGAGGGGGGGGGGGAGGGCAGCCAGGAGGGGAATGCGTGACAGGTCACGCAGGAGTAAAGGTGATGCTGCTGCCTCCGCTGAGGACGCTGAGGACATGGCAGGGTCTGTCCCTCACTAGGCCAAGCTCCTTCCTGCGTGCAGGGTCTTCTGGGCCTCCCTCTGCTCCCTGCGGGGAGGGCGCTGTCCCCCCTCCCATGAGAGAGGAGCCTCGATCCCCGCCCCACTCTAACCCTGAGGCATCCCCGCCCCTACACTGGTGGATGTGGGCACGGACCTGACTGAGGCTTCTTCGTTGAACCCTGGTTCTGTCATGCACAGAGTTTTCGCTGTGCCAAGTGGAGAAGCAACCCGAAGCCCTCCCGACTAGTGAGCTCTGCTACATCCGTGCCACAGAGGATTATTCCGAAATAAAAATGAGCCGAGTAAGGATCCGTCACACCGTAAGGGTCAACGTGGGAAGCGTGCTGGGAGCCAAGCCACTGGCACTGGCCACTGAGAAGGGTTCCTTCCACCCGGGACAGCTGAACAGGCCGACTCAGAAGACAGACACTGATGGACGGCAGCTTCCTTAGGGCGGGGTGGGGGAGGGAACTGTGGACAGGAACGCGGAACACAAGTAATCTTAAATTACATCATGGGGGGGGGTGCTTGGAAAACTCTGAAAACACTACAAAACAGTTCATTGCTTGGGCTGGAGAGAGAGTACGGAGGACAGAGCACTGGCCTTGCATGTAGAAGACCCGGTTCGATCCCCGGCATCCCAAAGGGTCCTCTGAGCGCCACCAGGAGTGATTCCTGAGTGCAGAGCTGGGAGTGACCCTTGAGCACCACTGCGTGTGACCCAAAACAAACTGACTTTGAACTGCATGTTTGCCCCAGCAGAGCTCAGAGCTCAGAGGACACTCCTGGCTGTCCTCAGGGGAACATGGGTCACGCCAAAGGTTAGCCTGGGGTCAGCCACACGGAAGACCTTAACCCTGGATTCCCTCTCTGGCCCCTGGGGAGCATGTCCAGTGGTCATCTGCTTTATGAAGCATCTGTACATGAGCTTTCCACCTACTGATGTCGTTTCCATTAACTTGGAGCTGTTTGGGGGCTACGCCCCGCCTGGTGTTGAGAGGGGCCACGCGGTATCAGGGATTGACCCTGGACCCTCACACTCAAAGCACGTGCTCCGGCCCTGCGAGCTGCTTCCCGGGTCCCTGCCACCATTCACGCTTACGACCCTTATGACAAACCTGCCTCAGCCAATTGACCTGCTAACTCTGCTCATGGCATCCTCCATAGTGGCGAGGAGCTGAGACACTTAGCCCTGTCCTCTTGCTGCTGCGGATGGTCTCTGGCCTTAACCCCTCACCTCTTGCCTCCCAATCTCCTACAAGAACACCCCCCATCCTCTTCTTCTTCTTTTTTTTTTGGCTTTTTGTGTCATACCCGGCGATGCACAGGGGTCACTCCTGGCTCTGCACTCAGGAATTACCCCTGGCGGTGCCCGGGGGACCATATAGGATTCTGGGAATCGAACCCAGGTCGGTCGCGTGCAAGGCAAGCGCCCTACCCGCTGTGCTATCGCTCCAGCCACCCCCGCCCCCCCACCCCGCCGTGATCTTCTTAATTTGGACAACCCGCTCCTTCCCTGCCGATCTATGGTTCTGTGCTACTCTGCGCCACGCCCAGGCTTGCCCTGGGAGACCCGGGTGGAAGGCAACTTACCCAGCTGCCGCGCCCACTGGATGGCACTGCCAGCATCTCCGGCATTGCCTTCGGCCAGACACACAACTTCCGGTCCAATCTTCCACCCAATTAATGGATAAAAGCCTTGAGGAGAAACCAACAAGCAGAGTACGTCACACAGAGGTGGATGATTCACTAGCGACTTGGACCATATGGCAGGGGGTGTGTGTGGGGGGTGGGGGCGGACAAAAACGAAGCAACTGTCTGATGACTCTGATGTCAGATGCCCAAGTTCAATCCCAGACCTCTCACTTGCTGTGGCCAGGCACGTTTCTAATCTTTCTGCCTCAGTTTCCTTGATTGTAAAATGGGTCTACCTCACAGCAGAAACAGCAGCAGAACTGGTCTTCAGTAGGGCTTCCTCTGGGGGTTCTGGGTGGGCCTGGGGGATACACCTTGATGGTGGGTGGAAGTGGTTGCTCTGGAGGACGAGGGGCAGAGCGGGTGCTGGGAGGGGGAAAGTCTCATGCAGGAAACTGCATCATAACAGGCTTGTAAGCCAGAGCCTAAAAGGGAGGGGAAAAAGGAAGGGAGGGAAATGGGGGCGGGGAGCAGTGGTGGAGGGACGTGGACACTGGTGACCGGACTGGCTGCTGGGACACCGTGTGCCTGAAATCAAACATGAGGAAGTCTGGATATAATGTGCCTCGATGGTCCAAAAATGCAGTTAAAAAAAAGAACACTGCCGTGCTCGCTTCGGCAGCACATATACTAAAATTGGAATGATCCAGAAAAGATTAGCATGGCCCCTGTGCAAGGATGACACGCAAATTCGTGAAGCGTTCCTCCGTATTTTTAAGTCTATAACTGTACCTCATAGTGTTTCACTAATAAAAAAATTAAAAAAAAAAAAAGAACACTGCTGACCCTCAGGGAGGCGGGGCAGAGCCGAGAGGGCCTCAGCGCAGGGCTTCTGGCACGCACAGGGTCACACAGACCTGCTTTTCCTCGTTGCTGGACATGCAGAAACCATGTTTCACTTATGAAATAAAAAGTCGAGGGCTGGAGAGGTGGTGCCAGGGCAGGGGCCCAGACCTGCACGCGGACGACCCCGGCCCGACCCCCAACACTATGTATGGTCCCCTGAGCACCACCAGGCACGGCCCAGATGCTCCCGCACTCACCAAACTGAAATCAAAGGCAGACAGGCTGGACTCTGAGATGAACTTGGGGGCTGGAGCGATAGGACAGGGAAGAGCGTTTGCCTGGCATGCAGCCAACCTGGGTTCAATTCCCATCATCCCATATGGTCCCCCAAGCACCGCCAGGAGTAATTCCTGAGTGCAGAGCCAGGAGTAACCCCTGTGCATCGCTGGGTGTGACCCAAAAAGCCAAATACATACATATATATACATATACATATATATACATATACACATATATATATATATACACACACACACACACACACATATACTCTGTGGTGGCATGGATTTAAAAGGAAGAAGGTGCAGAGGCCCAGAAGGAGGCTTTAGACACAGAGAACAGGCACCTTAGACACCTATTTGGAAAGCTGACTAAAACCCCCTCATGCTCTGAATATTCCACTCATTTTAAATGCTTTTGGTTTTTTTAAAAAAGTGGGTAAGATGCGTTTAAGAATAATAATAGCGGGGGCCTGGAGTGACAGTACAGCTAGGTCGGGCGTTTGCGCTGGACACAGCTGTCCTGGGCTCGATGCCTGGCATCCCATACGGTTCCCCATGCCTGCTGGGAATGATCACTGAGTGCAGAGCCAGGGAGTCAGCCCTGAGCACTGCTGGGCGTGCCCTGCCCCCCGCCCCACAACAAATGAATGAACGGTTCTAGAGGTAGTGCAGTGGTGAATGCACATGTCCCGTATTCACTTCCTGGCACCACGTGTTTGAGAGGTGCCCCCAGCACCACCAGGTACAGCCCAGGACCCCCAGTACCCAGAAGCCGAGCACCATGGCAGCTTCAGGGCCCTGGCCCTCCTGAGCCCGGCCTGGGAGCACCCCCAGCACTGTGAAGCAGAAACCCAAGGAGAATAAATATGCGAGGAGACATACTTCCCGTATCATCACACGGGAAAATCAGGGACCCAGAGATGGTCCAAAGGGCAGGGGGGCATGTGCCCAGCATGCTCGGGGCCCAGGGGCCCCGCGGCTGCTCCCGGCCTCTTAGTGCAACCACTGTTGGAAGCGACTAATAAATGAATCAAGAGGATGCTGAGTGTGAGCTTGGGCCGTGTCCCACTGCTGCACCGGGTACCGGCCATGCCCTCACCTCCGACGCTCTGCTGGGGGTCACTTCCGGTATTGATGTCCAGGAAGGTGCCCGTGCCCATGGTCAGCTTCACGTCTCCGGTCTGGAAGCAGCACTCCCCAAACATGGCGGACTGCTGGTCGGCCACCTGCCGAGAGGCCCTGAGTTAGACCCCAGCTGTCGCCAGTGTCCCCTGTCCCCTCCAGGAGAGGAGCTGCTGGGAGTGACTGGGCAGGGGGAGGAGGGACACAGGGAGGGCTTGGAAACCACCCGCCAGGGACAGGATCTGAAGGAAGACCTGGAGCAGCAGCGACCTGTGGAAGAGGGATGAAGGCGGCCCACCCCCAGCTGACCTCACGCCTCGCTCCTCCTGTCAGAGAGAAGGGTCCTAGGAGGTCTGGGCAGGGGCAGTCAGTCTAACACTGTCCAGCAGGGGCCTTGGTTCAGAGAAAAGCTCAGATTCTGCCAATAGCGGGGGCTGCTCAGGGAGCACTTGTGGGGGAGGCACGTGGCTTGTATGTGGCCAACCCAGGTTCAATCCTCGGCTCTGTGTAGGGCCCTCTGGGCTCTGCCAGGAGCAATCCCTGAGCACAGAGCCAGGAGCAAATCCTGAGCACTGCTGGTGTGGCCCCATACACAAAGAGGCAAGATAGACAGATAACAGTGAGTCAAGGTCAAAAGCTTCTTGAGGGGGCAGGAGCGATAGTTCAGCGGGGAGGGCGCTTGCCTTGCTTGTGGTAGACCCGGGTTCAAAACCCGGCATCCCATATGGTCCCCTGAGCACCGCCAGGAGTAATTCCTGAGTGCAGAGCCAGGAGGAGCCCCTGAGCATTGCTGGGTATGATCCCAAAAGACCAAAACCAAAAAACAAAACAAAAGTCAAACAAACAAACAAAAAGACTTCTTTAAGGGGGCTGAAGCAACAGTACAGCAGGGAGGGCATTTGCCTTGCAGGCTGCCCACCGGGACTGATCCCCGTGCATCCCCTGAGTTCCAGGAGGAGTGATCCCTGAGCACAGAGCCAGGAGTCAGCCCTGACCACTGCTGGGTCTGGCCCCAAAACAACAACAACGGCAGCAAAAGACAAAAACTCCTCTGAAGAACATGTCCTCGCTGCTCTCAATGCTGCACCCCTGTCCTGTCCCCTCAGCCCCATGATTCTAGCGAGTGGGTTTGTCACGTGGGGGTCCAGTCGGCTTCTGGCGTCTGTTCACTGGGCCTCTGGCCCTTCTGCTCAGGCGCTAAGAAATCAAAGCTGGAGTCCTCCATGGCCGTCCACCGAGAGCAGCCCTGTGGGGAGCTCCACGGCCTGACTCCCCCCCGCCAGCCAGAGACAGGCACCCGGGCGCTTTCAAGCAGCTCTCAGGCTCTGGGAAAGCGCAAACATAAGCTTCTCGTTTATGTTGATGCCCCATTCACCGTGGATCAAATATAGACCAAGGATTGGTTCTTGGACTTGATCTCCTGCTGTGTTCTCCCGGCATCAGAGATCAACCCAGTGTTATCCGGAAGGCAACTGTAGACAAGTTTCAACTGCTGTTTGGAAAACTCCAAGTCGGCGAGGCTACAAGGGAGTGATTCCTGGGCACAGAGCCAGGAGCAATGTGGTCCCCTAACCGCCGGGAGTACAGAGCCAGGAGCAGTGTCTGAGTACTGTTGGGTGTGACCCCCAAATAAGAACAAAGGAAAGAAAATAGGGTTGTTTATCCCAAGGGATGGAGAATGGGTGATTCTCCCCAGGGTCTTTCCACTTAAAAACCCAAAAGAGAGGGACTGGAGAGACAGGACAGCAGGTAGGGTGCTTGCCCTGCATGCAGCTGATGGCAGTCGGTCCCGGCATCCCACATGGTTCCCGGAGCTCTGCCAAGAGTGATCCCCGAGTGCAGAGCCAGGAGTGAGTCCTGATTCCCCAAACTCAAAACAACAACAATAAAAAAAGAGGGACCAGGGAGGGTAGAGTGCTCAGGGCCAGACATCTGCCTGGCACAGAGCTGACGCCCACAGTTCCATGACAGGCACCCTAACTGCCGGGAGTGATCCCTGGGCACAGAGCCAGGAGCAATGTGGTCCACTAACCGCTGGGAGCACAGAGCCAGGAGCAGTCTCTGAGCACTGTTGGGTGTGACCCCCAAATAAGAACAAAGGAAAGAAATAAAATAGGGTTGTTTATCCCGCCTTGAGCCTTTCTGTCTTGCAAATCCAATCCCAATCGCACAGAATTGTTGGGGTTACCCCGTATCAGCAGTGCATGCATAACCTCGACTCCCAGGCGTTCCACTCACCAAGGCCACGATGGGTATAGACACCCCGAGAATCTCTTCATCCACGGATCCAAAATTGTGGCTTCAAACAACGACAAAGCAAGTTAGACCCCTAGGACTATTGGCCCCCAAACGCAGCAGAAAACGGTTCCCTGGATGGGCCCCAAGGCCATGCCAGCCCCTCTGACGTGCAACTCAGAGGTGTCTCTCCAGAGATGATCTCCCCCTTCCCCCCTCCTGACATCTGGTGTGGGTCTTACCTGGTATCCCTGACGGGGGGCAGGAGGGAGAGAGGGATCGAGAGCAGGGAGGTGACGAACCCACTCCAGCGCATCTGAGCGGGAAGAAAACTGTCATCAGAAGTCACAGCGTGTAATAGGGGATTTGGCGATCCAGAAAGAAGGAGGGGGCAAGCGGAAAAGGGAACCCCATTTTACCTCATAGGGGTCGAAGAGTCCAGTTGTGCTGGCATTGGAAAAATCCGTGGCAAACTCAGCCCCTAAATTTGCACAGGAAATGACGCGTCGGGGGCATTGGTCACACTTGACCCTGAAAGTGTGCTCGTAAGGCTGCCCTTAAATGCACCCCAAAATGGGAGTGCGTGTTATCTCTGCTCGGGGATGAGACCCGAGGGAAGAAGAGGGTGACAGAGGGACAGTGTGACGAGCCCCTCCCCCCAGTCGCTCCCAGGGGGCCATGAGGCAGATCTGGGGCCGGATTCACGTCGTTTTTGTTCTTGACTGAGACTGTCCTTCGTGTTCCAGTGAAGGTTTCCTCATAATTTAAGTGCCCTCCTCCCTGAACACCAAATCTGAAACCTGGGGCCGGAGCAACAGGACAGCAAGAAGGGCATTTGTCTTGCATGCAGTCGACCCTGGTGTCCCATGAGATCCCCGGCAATCTGTATGGTCATCGCCGGAAGAGTGATCCTGAGTGCAGAGCCACGAGCAACCCCTAAGCATCGCCACGTGTGGTCCCCTCACCACCCCCCCCAAGAGAATTTGCGATCCTCCAGCAATTACGGCGCCAAGGAACAGAGTGCTCGAGAAAAAGAAAAAGGAAACGCCTCTAATCTTGGTCATGGGTGGCCTTCCCAGGGACCGGGCGTCAGTACTCGTAGCACCTAGGGGAGCGTGCTTCCCAGGGTGCTCTTTTTTTCACCCCTTTTGGGTCACACCCAGCGATGCTCAGGGGTTCCTCCTGGCTCTGCACTCAGGAATTACTCCTGGTGGTGCTCAGGGGACCACTTGGGATGCTGGGGATCGAACCCGGGTTGACTGTGTGCAAGGCAAATGCCCTCCCCGCTGTGCTATCGCTCCAGCCCCAACCCCCTCCCCCTCCAGTGGTTCTTGGGGAGTCTCTGGGCTGCACCTGAGATGCTGGGGGAGAGCGTGGTGCTGGGAATGGAACTGGGGGCGACCAGATACACCGCATGTGCCCCGGCCCTGGGAACCGGGGCTGCTCCCGAGGGGAATGTGCTCTTGCAGGCTGCAGGGCTCGGCCCCGGGCGCGTCACCTTTCGTGAGCTTGTGCAGTAGCCAGGTGTCCACGGTCCCGAAGCAGCAGTTTCCCTCCTCAATGGCCTTCCGTACCTTGGGCAGACAACAGCACAGAAGCGCTTTTTTTTAAATGAATCACTGTGAGGTACGGTTACAGACTCACAAACTTTTGTGCTTGCATTTCAATCCTGCAGTGGTCGAGTGCCCATCCCTCCACCAGTCCCCTTCTTTACCACCAACGTTCCCATATCCCTCCCTCTTAGGAATTACTCCTGGTGGTGCCCCTCCCACCCCACATCCCTCCCTTGTGCCTCTGGGGCAGGGTATTTCCTTTTACTTTCTCCCTCCTCTTCGGTGTTATGGTTTGCAATGTAGATATCGAGTGGCCTTCACGTTCAGTCTACAGTCTACTTCCAGCATGCATCTCCCATCCTGAGAGGGCCCTTCAGGCATCTTTTACTTGGTGGTCCCTTCTCTATCTGAGCTTCCTTCCCCCCTCCCCCCCCCCCCCCCCCCCCCCCCCCCCAGCATGTGAGGCTGGCTTCCAAGCTGCGGAGTAATCCTCCTGGTCCTTATCTCTACTATGCTTGGGTGTTAGCCTTCCATTCTGTTACTTTATATTCCACAAATGAGTGCAGTCCTTCTATGTCTGTCCCTCTTTTTTCTGACTCATTTCACTTAGCAGAGCAGCGTTTTGAAGAGGCCACCCTCTTCAGTGCCAGACACACTGCAACCTCAGCTCTGATCAACATTCAGGTGGAGAAACCGTTTCCAAAATATACCCCGAATGGGTCCAGGCGGTTGTCCTCATAGGGTATGAGAGGCGAGTTATACCAAGCACACGCCACGCGCGTTTCATTAGCTTTCTTGCTTAGTCTTGCCATATGTGTATGCCCAACTATAAATATCCTGACACAGAAGACAGTGTTCCAGCCAGGACAAATGCAGCCTTGGACCTGTTGAAGTGCAAGTCTGAGAGATTTCCAGGGCCAGGAATGTGGCTCAGTGGTAAAGCATGGGTCTCGCCAGCATGAGATCAGTGGTCCATGCAGTACATGCAGTAACACACACACACACACACACACACACACATTAAAACGTTTAAAGTCTTAAAAAAAGTCTACTCTGCAATGCATGAAAAGTACATACAATTCAGATCCCAGCATCCACATCTGAAATCTGTTCAAGCTCACTCGCTCCCTCTCTCACTGCCCACTTGCTCACTCTCTCCATCACTCAGTCACTTACTTGCTCCCTTCCTTACTCCCTCCTTCTCTCCCTCCCTCCCTCACTCACTCCCTCACTCGCTCGCTCACTCGCTCTCTCATGTCCAAGATCTACAGCAGCTGTCACCCAAGGCTACAGACACTTCCTGGCCTTCGAAGTCAACCCCATGAGCAGCCCGGGGCGATGACCTCCGATGACAAGATGCGGTTCAGGCTGGGGGTGGCACTGCTGCTAGACTCTAAGCCTTGGCACATCGGGCCCTGGGTTTGACCCCTGGCACCACAAACCAAACAAACAAAATGGCTCTCTGGAATTTTACAGAAAGATCTCTCCCAATCCTTAGCAAACACGGCTTCAAAGAAAAGATGCCCCTTTAAGCTAGCTAATGAAGAAAGTAAAATGCTTAGGAATTCATGCCCAAAAAGCAAAAGCGACTCCTTAAATAATAAATAATAAAGGATTTCTAACTTTTTATGGGGGGACAGGTTGGGCCACACCTGCAGTGCTCAGGAGTGACCCTGCAGTGCTCAGGGAACAGACGTGCTGGAGGGATTTGAACTGGGGTCAGCTTCGTGCAAGGCAAGTGCCTTCACCCCTGCACTCTCTCTCTGGCTGTGCGATTTCTAGCTTTCACCTGTCCTTCCAGACCAGCATTCCCTGGCTCCCCCTGCGCCCTCCGGACAGCATTCCTACAGTCTGGGACATCCCGAGCGGACCCCGAGCTCCATCGGAGTAGGGGCTACACTCTCTTCCACTTTAGCACCTCCGCGCTTAGGCCAACTCCTGGCAGACAGCTGACAATGCACAGCAACGTTTCCTGCAGGATGTGGAAAGCACCGAAACTGTCCAACAAGGGCAAATGGGTAAATGCAATGGTTCGACGGGACGCAGCACTAAGGAACCAGGACAGCGTCCAGGTAGCTGCCACGTGGACACAACCGCAGGGACCTTCAAAGGGACCGGGAGGGAGATACTGGAGATCCTTGCGGACCCTGGGGGATGTCACTCATCTGCGAGATCCAAAGACAAAACAAGGGCCAAACACAGAACAGCGACAAGTGGCTGGCCCTGGAGGACAGTCATGATTCCCCCACCCCGGTGGGGCGCGGGAAGACAGACTGTGCTTGGGCCAGGAGAACACTGACAGAGGGAAGTGGGCACCTTGTTAGGGGGTGGGAAGGGGGTGCCGTAACTTTAAACCTCAACGCCATATACTTTGGCACTAATGCAACCATCTTACCCAAGCTGTAATAAAATGGAAACCGCCAAGGAGTCCTCCCGTTGTTCATCGATTTGCTTGAGCGGGCCCAGTAACGTCTCCATCTTGAGACTTGTTGTTACTGTGTGTGGCATATCGAATACGTCACAGGGAGCTTGCCAGGCTTTGTCGTGCGGGCGAGATACTCTCCGTAGCTTGCTGGGCTCTCTGAGAGGGGCGGAGGAATCGAACCCAGCTCGGCCGGGCTGGCTGTGTGCAAGGCAAACGCCCTACCACTGTGCTATCAAGGAGCTCCAGTGGCGTAATCGGTTAGTGCGTGGTACTTATACGGCAGTACCACCAAAGAGTAAAGCAAAATATTCTTCTAAAAATCATAATGTTCGTTGCTGGGAATGCAGCTACCTGGCATACGCCAGGCCCTAGGTTCAATGCCTGGACGACCCTCCCCCCCCCCAAACAAAAACAAAACCCTGAATTTAAAGCTAGAGTTTGCTAAATAAATAATAAGATAAATAGAAAGCAAATAGAGATACTTAGGGGGTGAATTATATTTTGGCCAGAGCAATAGTACAGCAAGTAGGGCATCTGCCATGCACGCAGCCAACCAGGGTTTAATTCCCGGCATCCCATAAGGTACCCTGAACACCGCCAGGAGTAATTCCTGAGTGCAGAGCCAGGAGTAACTCATGAGCATCGCTGAGTGTGACCCAAAAGAAAAAGGGTGAATTGCATTTTAACAGATGAAAGAGATAATATGATAATGGGAAAGAGATAAAATGAACAACCCCCCCCCCAGCCCAAAATAGGTCATTGTGGGTTATTTATAACAAGTATTTAGTGTCATTCAAGTACTGATACCATTTAAATATGCAACACTTAGGAAATATCATATTTAAACTCTCTCAAATTTAGATACTGTGATTCTAGAATCGGTTCCAGTTTTGACTCAGCTACACACTGGCACAACTCTTCTTCAGGTTTGGCACTCTGTGTATTCCTAGGAAGTTTTCCCTTTTTTAGAATTTATCCAGGGCAGGAGAGGTAGCACAGCGGGTAGGGCATTTGCCTTGCACGCTGCTGACCCAGGTTCGATTCCCTGCATCCCATATGGTCCCCTGAGCACCGCCAGGAGTAACTCCTGAGTGCAGAGCCAGGAGTAAGCCCTGTGCATCGCCGGGTGTGACCCAAAAAGAAAAAATAAATAAATAAAAATAAAATCTATCCAATGTTTTTTGTATAAAATCTGTTGTCTTAGCATGATATTTTTATTTCTGAGTTCAGAATTACAGTTCTCTTTCATTCCTCCTCCTCCTCCTCCTCTTCCTCCTCCTCCTTTTTTTTTTAACCTTAGCTAATCTCCTTTAACCAAGTTTCAGTTTTTGTTCATTTCTTTTCAACTGCTTTCTGTTCTCTATTTCGTTTTCACTCCTGTCTTAGTAATTCTTTCCCGTTAGTTGCTCTGGGTAGTTTAGTTCATCTTTCCCAGTGTCTTAGGATAGAATATTAGATTAGATTCTCTTCTTTCCCCATCCCCCCACCTTTTTTGCCACACCTAGTAATGCTCAGGCCTTACTCCTGACTCTGTGCTCAGGGATCACTCCTGGTGAGACTGAGGGACCATATTCAGTAGATGGGATCAAACTGGGGTTGGCTGTGTGCCAGGCAAGTGCTTTAGCATCTGTCCTGCCTGCAGCAGTGACTTATGTGCAGGTCAACAGTGAGCCTTCTTCACATGAGCCCTCAAGTGCAGGAACTCGAACGTCCCATGAACAGAATGACCTCACAAAGACTCTGGCCACATGTACGGAAAGGTCAGGCACCCAACACCACCGAGCAAGGAAAACAAGTAAATGCACACACCACATCGGCAATTTTCACAACGAAAATGTTAAGTTCAAGGAGTCAGATACAAAAGCATTAACGCTGTATGGGTCCGTTTATACGAAGCTCAGAAACATTCAGGTAAAGGGGCTGGAGAGACAGTACAATGGGGCCAACCTGGGTTGGATCCTCGGCATCTCGTACGGTCCCCCTAAGCACTGGCAGGAGTAATTCCTGGGTGCAGATCCAAGAGTAAGCCCTGAGCACCGCCGGGTGTGGCCCCCAAATGAACAAACAAAAAAATCAGGTAAAACTATAGTATTGAGGACTACACACAAATTGTTAAGGTAGAAAGAAAATATGATTGTGTTGGCGATCCTAGAAATGGATGATTGCTCCACAGCGGATCAACTGTGAATGACCAGACACTGAGAGGTATGTACCAACGTCACTCACCCTGAGCCGCTGTTAGAGACCCAACTGCATCAAGATCCCCTGCTTTCCATCCTAGCACGCAGGTAGCAGACTCCTCTCAAAGGATCAAATGACTTCCCACAGGTGGCCTACACACACACACACACACACACACACACACACACACACACACACACACACACACATCCCTCTCTTACCTCCATGAGGTTCTGCAGTACCCAGGCCAATCTCAGGGAGACATGCTGGGTCGTGAACTTGAACAGACTGGCGGCTAAGTACCGTTTGCTTCTGGTGAAAAAGTGAAGGACTCGGCTGGAATTGTGGATCAGCTACGGACAAAGAAGAGGTTTCAGGAACATGTACTCCCCCTCACAGGTGGTGGGAGTTATGTTGCCAATGACACCCTACCTGTGCAAGCAAGACCAGTAACAAGTTCTGGAGCTCCTTTTTCTTTTCTTTCATATTTTAATTGGGGATTTTCTTTTATTTTGTTAATTTTTTTTATAAGGTAGTTCACAATATTTGATTACATTTGATATTCAAACACCAATCCCATCACCATGACACCTTCCCACCACCATATTTGGGATGTTTCCATCCCAAACCCTGTCCCAAAGCAAAACCGAAATAATATATTTTGTATTTTTTTTTTATGAAAAACCACTGAAAACGCTACAAAAAAGTATCCATAGAGGACAGAGTGTGAAGACTGTTCTGTTTTGGCAGGGACCATTAAGACCTTCTATAAGATATCACTAACGTGTTGTTAAAGGTTGAGCCTTGTGAAATTTCATATATATTTTCATTTTCATTTCATCATCCTGTTAATCGTCTATTGCCTCGAGCAGGCCCCAGTAACGTCTCTTTCATCCTAGCCCTGAGATTATATTCACGGCTCTTTAGGAGAATGAGACCCATCATTGTTACTGGTATTTGGCATATTTGGTACGCCACGGGGAGTTTGCCAGACTCTGCCCTGTGGGCAGGCTACATTCGATCTCTGTAAATATATATGTACATGTACATGTATGTATATATTTATGTTCCCTCTATGATTGGTTGCCTACTTTTGAAGTGTTGGAGCTTCTTTACTGTGTTTGCTGGCACTCAAAAACTTCAGGACAGTATTACTCCTGGTGGACGACTTATAGTCTAACAAGCAACCGTCACACATGACTGTGAGACTATGAAGCCCTTCAGTAAATGCCAGAGGCTTCCGTACTTATAAAGCCTTTCTAAAATGAGTATTTTCTACCTCTTAATTTTTACCTAGGGAAGTAAAGGGAGAGAGTCAGGGGGAGATGGTAGATTTTCTTTTGGGGGGGGCGGAGGGAGGATTCTTTTGGTTTTTGGGTCACAATCAGTGATGCTCAGGGGCTACTCTCACTCTGCACTCAGGAATCATTCCTGACAGTACTCAGGGGACCTATATGGGATGCTGGGATCAAACCCAGGCCGGCTGCATGCAAGGGCAGCGCCTTATTCACTGTACTATCACTCTACTCCGGGAAAAGGTTACGTTTAAATTTTTATTTATGATTTTTTGTTTGGTTTTGGGCCACATCAGCTGTGCCCGGGGCTTTGTCCTGGCTCTGCACTCAGGAAACACTCCCAGCAGTGCTTGGGGACCCTATGGGGTGCCGGGGATCAAACTCTTGTTGGCTGTGTGCAAAGCACATGCCCTACCTGCTGCACTACTGCTCCAGCACGGAGTTTTATAAGAAATATACTCTGTGTGTGTGTATGTGTATGTGTGTGCTGGGGTGTGGGATGGGGGTGAGCTTGGATCATACACGGTGGTGTTAACTCCCAGTTCTGTGCTCAAGGGTCACCCCAGCAGTGCTCACCCCCAGCAGGGGCCATGCAGTACTGGGGATGGAACCTGGGCCTCTTCTGAGCTCTCTCCACCCCTAGAAATGTACTTTTAATTAGGAGAATACTAATTCAGGGGAAAATGTAACTGCACATTAAGTGCTTCAACTTTGAGGCTTATGATTTATCTATTCACTGTCACTGTCACTATCCTCCCGTGGTTCATCGATTTGCTTGAGTGGGCCCAGTAACATTGTGAGACTTGTTACTGTGTTGGGCATATTGAATACGTCACGGGTAACTTGCCAGGCTTTTCCGTGCAGGTGAGATGCTCTCGGTAGCTTGCCGGGCTCTCCAAGAGAGGGAGAGGAACTGAACTCAGGTCGGCTGTGTCAGTCGCGTGCAAGGCAAACGCCCTACCCACTCTACTATCGCTCCAGCCCTGATTTATCTATTAATATTGGTAACTGTATTATCTAATGATCAAAGATGAAACATACAGTTTCACTTAATCACTTAATCACTTAATCCCCGTTATTCATCGATTTATTCGAGCGGGTGCCAGTAACGTCTCCATTCATCCCGGTTGCGTGCTAGCGTAGCCCAATGGTATCTGTTCGTTTTAGGAACATGTAGAGCCTCAAACCGATCATTTAGGGTCTTGACGAAGAAGTCTGACCATCTTATAGGTGGGCGTCCACGTGATCTTTTGATGTCTCGTGGAATCCAATCAGTAATGGCTCTAGTCCAGCGGTTGTCTGTAAACCTCATTACGTGTCCAGCCCATCTGATTTTTGATGTCTTGGCAAAAGAGACAGCGTCCCTGATTCTTGAGCGTTGACGAAGATCAGAACTCCGGATTCTATCTCTCATTTGAGTGAATCGTGATATTCCAAGCATAGTTCTTTCGATTCCTCTTTGAGAGACCCGAATAGTGTTCTCATCCTGTTTTCGTAGGGTCCAGGTCTCTGAGGCATATGTTAATGCAGGAAGAATAGTGGAATCAAAGAGATGTGCTCGTAGCTGGAGGTTCTTTGTCCTTTTAGTTATTTCTTCAATGCTCTTGAAGGCATTCCAAGTCGCTCTCTTCCTCCTGCGCAACTCAGGTGCCAGGTCATTCATCATGTTGATTTCTCGACCTAGGTATATATAACTGTTGTATTCGGAGATGGTGGTTCCGTTGAGAGCGAATGGAGCGTCAGGAACAAGGCTGTTTCTCATAAACATTGTCTTCGCAAGATTCAGCTGTAGTCCAACCTTTCCACATTCACGGTCAAAGTCGTTCAGCATTTGTGCCGCTTGGTTGATGTTTGGTGTTATTAGAACGATGTCATCAGCAAAGCGGAGGTGGTGTAGTTGCCGACCATCTATCTTCACTCCCATGTTTTCCCATTCCAGCCGTCGCATGATGTTCTCAAGGGTGGCACTGAAGAGTTTTGGTGAAATGGTATCACCCTGCCGAACCCCTCTCTTGATATGGATGATTACTTCTTTGTAGAATGGTGAGATCTTGGTAGTGAATCCGCAATAGAGCTCACGAAGGATCCTGATGTATTGAGTTTGTACGCCGATTGGCTAGGGCTTCTATGACCGCTTCCGTCTCAACAGAATCAAAGGCCTTCTTTAAATCAATGAACGTTAGACAGAGTGGCATCTTGAACTCCCGAGATACCTCAATGAGCTTGGTTACTGTGTGGATATGGTCGATGGTACTGAATCCTTTTCGGAATCCAGCTTGTTCACATGGTTGTCCTTCATCTAGTGTTCTGCTAATCCTATTCAGGATGACTCGAGTGAATAGTTTGTAGATGACAGACAATAGGCAGATTGGGCGATAGTTGCCAATGTCGTGGATGTCTCCTTTCTTGTATAGTAGTACAGTCTTGCTGGTTTTCCATTGGGATGGAACCTTGCATTCAGACAGGTAGCGTGTGAAGAGTCGAGCCAATGTATTGATGAGTACTGATGGTAAGTTCTTCAGGTGTTCAGGTCTGATCTTGTCTGGGCCAGGTGCTCTTTGTTTCTTTACAGACGAGATGGCATGTTGGATTTCGGAAGGGAGAACATTGGGAACGACATATCCATCATGTGGTATGTGGTATGTGGGCAAGTGGATGTGGCTATTAAAGAGATCTGAGTAGAAGTCATGAATAATCTTCTCCATTGCCCTTCTGGAAGATGTGATAGATCCATCATGATGTCGGAGGGCAGTCATCTTGGTTTTGTAGTTGGTGAAGGACAGGCGGGCATTACGAATGTTTTTCCCAGCTTCTGCTGCATCTACCAGTACTGCTGCTCTCCTGTTTTTGAGGTCATCCTTGATGGCTTCTCTGCACTGTTTTGCCAGTTTGGACGTTTGCTTGTGGTTGCCTGAGGCACGTGCCAAGCCACGTTGGCGAATAAGTTCAAGAGTGTTCGAAGAAAGACGGTTTTTTGTGGTTATCTCTCTCTTGGCATTCCTTGCACAATCATGGAGGTGCTGAATCATTCGATCGTATTCCTCATCAATGTTGTCAATGACGGCATCTTCCCATGTTGCCGCAACAGAGCCAAAGAGTTCCCAGTTGGTGGTTGTTCTGGGAGTCCTCTTCTTAAACCTTGCATTCTTTTCTCCTCGTTCTGTGAGGTAGAATTTTGCACGAAGAAGACGGTGGTCTGATCCCGTTTGGAATTTTGGGACAACAGCAACATCGGTTAGGCAAAACCGCCGATTGAATATGATGTGGTCTATTTCATTGTGGAACCGTCCATCGGGAGACTCCCATGTCCAACGTTTAGATTTAGCCTTTTGGAATTGTGAGTTACCATGGAAGGTTTTGGTTGACATGATGAACTCAGACAGTCTGTCACCCTGTTCGTTCCATTCCAGGCCATGGGTTCCGATGTGGAGTTCATCGACTGATCTTCTTGGTCCTATCTTGGCATTAAAATCACCGACAATGATCTTGTAGAAGGTGTGATCTTCTTTATAGAATTTCTCCAGCTCCATGTAGAATTTCTCAGTTTCTCTTTCACCATAACTGGATGTTGGTGCATAGACAACAAAGATAGAAACTGCCGGTAGTGAGCCACATTTATTTAAGTGTAATCGTCTGATTCGGGTTGTTAGGCATTCAAATGAATCAATGCTCGTGACTAAGTTTGTGTTGACAAGGATACCGACACCACCGACGCCTCTTTTATCACATGTTCCAAGGAACAGTTCTTCTCCAGTGTCGAAAACAGCATGATGGAATTGATGTCTTCTCGTTTCGGTCAGACCAATGATGTCGTACTTGATCTTTCGTGCTTGTACCATAAGGTCTTCAATGGATGCAGCAGATGCCAGGGTACGAGCATTAAAAGTACAGACAATCATTTTTGTTTTTCTGCGTTTTGGTAGCCTATGTCTGCCTTGGTGTTTTATCAGCCTCTCCTTCCATATCCTTCTCGACTCTGCATATTCAGGGTTAGGGAAATGAGATCCATTTATTACTGGATTTGGCATATCAATTTGGTCTATTTGGCATAGACCACG